AGGATGGTGGAAGGTGTATTCAAATAATTTGATATCTTTAGTAAAATAAATTCAAGAACTCAAATTCAAATTCGTTTATTCATGTCAATAAACACAATTACGTTTACAAGGGTCATGTGGTACATAGTAACAATTGAACGAGGGTTATAAAAATATCTTATGCCGTCAAAATAAGAGGAAACAGTTCGGTAGTTTTTGCAAAGCAATAAACAGGTAGGCTTATACCTGGATTAAGTACATTTCTTCTCTGCTGTAATAGGTAGATGGAGGCGATGCTGCCAGAAATGGATGTGTGCGATCAATAAACAAACCACAAGATTGAACTGCGGTGTCCAATAATTTTTGTATTGCCTTACTATAAAACTCTGTTGGGTATATGATGGAGTTTACTAAAACTTTACAGCTTGTTGTCTGCCTTCTTCTACAAACTTCACCAAATCTAGACGCTGTCAACCTTATCCTCCGATGAAGGCGCCACAAAGTACAGTCCTGTGATTTGGTGACTTGTTCGATCTGCAAAATATCGTCGTCACTTTTTTCAAGTTTCCCTAAAAATTCTTTCTTAGCAACCTCCAAATCAATGTCGTTCATGTTAGGTTTTTTACAGAATTCGCCATAAAACTATTCATTTTCTTTGGAATTGCTATCCGAATTGTTAGTTATTTTTTTATCAGCTTTTTTTGGCGTGAGTTTCGTTTCAAGATTCTTGCGTTTGAGTCTTTGTTCCATCTTAGCGATAAGCGAGGTTGGACTAAGCTTAGATCGCAAATGTATTTAGATCACATAGACGGGCCGCTGGGTATTGTGGCTCACTACAGCTGCAGCACATCTTCCATGGTATGACCTCTTGTTGCAATAATTTATTCGCTTACTCCCCAATGTATTTTGCAATTATAGAGTTGAACTGCTCCACACTATTGTTGACCTCATATGAATTAAACTCACTGCATTCGTAATTAAAATGGTCGCATATGCACTTTTATTGTCCACTATCAACCTTGATAGAAAAAGGCACTCAAGAACAATCACACAACAATTCAACAACACAATATCGACAAACAGTAACAAGGGGAGAAAAATACTAAATGATCACTTGCTGAGTACCAAAATAGGAAAGGATTTACAGGCTAGATCGCTAATCGAAATCCGACTCTGTTATTATAAAAATTTACCTTGGTATGCACCCGCAGTCATCCTTTCCTCTTTTAAAGTAGCGCTGACGACCGACTAGGGCCAGCCTACCCTCGTTTCCTTTTCACCCCCCCCCCCCCCGTTACCTCAGCAGATAGTGCTCGTGATTGTAGGAGCCCCGCTAACTTCTTGATATGAGAGAAGGAGAAAAATTTCATTTTACCGAAAAGGATGCTTTCACAAACTTGTTTTATACTTTATAAGTTTCTAAAGGTAATAGAGCCCACTTTCTGTTAGTGATTCTACTGCGTTGTTTTCAAGTGTTGGCCCCACATTTCCTAGTCTTGACGTCTTTTTTGACTGGACCATACAGTTCACCGCCCTTTCAATCCGTCGCGTGTAAATCGTAAAACAGCACACACAATTGCAACATTTTTATTACACACGTGTGTGTAACAAAATTACATTTGAACAACTAGCAATAATGCACGCTCGCCTCGACGTCCGTTATATCGATGCAATATTTCTGGGAATGCGTCACAAGTCACATACAATCAACATCCTAACTGTTCCAATGTTTATCATAATACATCTGTTCCAGCGCGCGTGTGAACCAGATAGACTTTGCTATAGTTCAGGGATATTAATTCTTGTGCAATATGAATTCCCATTTATATTTGTTAGCCTTTTAGCCTCATAAGTTCATTTTTTGAGCTAAAGGATCAGACATTCAAAAAGTTTCATACTGAGCCATTATGATAGAGTAGTGTGTAAATTGTTTTCGGTGAGCCCCATCGCGTGAGGTTTGAACTGGTTTCCGCGCTTTCACAATTTCGCTGAATTATTCTGTTGTTTAGAGCAGGGTTTCCCAACCTTTTTTTTTTGTTGTTGAGGCTCCCCGGACTATAAATTATATTTTCATGCCCCCCTTTACTTTTTCAATAAATACCAAAAAACGCACATTATATAGGTACAAAGACTTTTATTTTAATTCTAATACAGAAACTTTAAAAATTTAAATAAACTAATAAATGTTTTCTATCGAAAAAATAAGAGTAGGTACTAATGAGACCCTTGAGATTGCATGTTCTGTACCAGTTGGTTGATTCTAGGTTCTGTTTTTGCCAGAGCTATCATCAGGTCGCTATCAAAATCAAGATGATTTCCCTGTTTAGTTTTAATTAAAACTAGAGCAGAAAAGGCTGCCTCACATGAGAAGTTGAAGAAAAAGGAACTAGTATTCGTAAAGCAAGACAGGCAAGTGTCGAATTAACAATCTTTGATCCAAAATTTCTCCAGTGTTAAAAGATGGAAGTCATCTTTCATGGACGAATCAGCCTTCATTTATAGAAATTCTTCCTGAACTTCTTCTAGTAATTGTGACACATCGACAACAATTATATTTCTTGTCATGTGCCATATTGGTGACTCTGAATTGATGTATGGATATATCGGCGAAATTCGTCTTCCAGCGCTTGCAAATGAGCTTTTATGTCAGCTTTTAAATTTGCGTCCAGTATGTTATTTTCAATTGCTTCAAACAGCAGAGAAAAAGATATAACATTTTCAGAAGACGCTTTTTGATTCCAAAGTTGAAGCTTTGATATGAACCCCTGAATATAGTCATAATTGCTTATTATAGTGTTGTTTCTGCCCCGAAGTTTCAAGTTTAGCTCATTCAAGGAGTCAAATATATCAGTTAAATAACCCCACCTCCATTGAAATGTGTCATCTTTGAACATTGTCATGAAATCGTGTTTTTCTTTGAACTCAAGAAAAAGAATTGCCTCTTCTATCAATTCATAAAGGCTAGCCAACTTGTTGCCTCTGGACAGCCAACGTACCTCTGTATGCAACAGAAGAACTTTGTGATCAGAATCGAGATCCTCGCAAAGTAAAGTAAATAACCGACTGTTCAAAGCGCTGGTCTTGATGTAGTTTACAATCCTTATAGCCGAGTCCAAAGTCTGGCGTAATATCTTGGCAATGTTTTGGAAGCCAAAGCTTGCCGATGAATAACACAATGTGTACTAACCATTGCGGCATTTTGTTCCTTGAGCTTTTTAGCTAAGCCCGATCGTACACCTATCATTGCAGGTACGTTATCTGTGCAAAGTCCAATGAGTTTCTTCCAAACCTAATAATTTTTTTCAACAAAATTTGATATGAAATTAAATATATCTTCATATGTTGTCAAAGATTGGGAGTACAAAATCTCTTCTTGAATTATATCTCCGCCGTTGTAACAAACATAAACTATTAACTGTGCACCATTAACGATGTCGGTGGATTCATCGCAACTAATGGCTGTCTGCTGCAATTTCATCGATTCTATGCTTGACTGTGTTATTCGAAAGAGAAATAGACTTCATTTTTTGCTCTGCATCATCTCCTAAAATTATCTGCTTGGCTCTGCTATCATAAAAGCTATTTCAAATGAAGCTTTGAGATGCTGCGATACACCTGTGTGATAACTTCCAGATTTATTCAGTCTCATTCGCTTGAGTGATTCTGCTTTAGAAGAAAAAACTCTTTCGTCTTCAAAACCAGAGCAGGATATTGTTGCTTCAAATGCCTTTCAAGGCGATTGGGCCTCGTGATATCATTACCTAAAACTTTCAGACATATCACACACTGAGGCAATTGTAACTCGCCTTTTTATATGAAGGTAAATCCAAACTTAACGTAATCTTCAAAAAACTATCTTTTTTTCGCTGCCATTTTGCACCTACAACAATAAAACAAATAAGTAATAAGTAAATAAGCAAAATACCTACATGTAATTACTAATCATATGCCCATTATTTTATCTTAACGTAATGTATTCAACAGTATATTGGCCACCGGGAGATTTATATTTTTGTAGGCAGGGTGACGTTATAAGAGTTATTTTAAATTCATTTGGAATCAATATTAGATGTTCTTACACTTAATCATATGAACACGAAATAAAAATGGTATAGGAGATACAAAACAAAGTTTTTCTATTCCAAATTCACAATAGTATTGAAACCAGTGAAATTAAACATGGAACTAACTTAAATGCCTACACACATAATGTGCCCAAAAACTACCGTATATGTATTATTAACACAAGTTAAACAAAGAAAAATTATAACAGAGCTCTATGTGTATAACCTAACATGCTTATGGAAAGAAGACAGAATCATGGTTTTGCGGTCAAGAGGAATATAGCAGCAATTTAGGAAAATGAGAATAATGAAAATTAGTTAAATTCACTGGCTTCATCCACCCAATCGTGTTTTATCCATGTTTAACGTGTACACTTGTAATTCTACGCACACATACTTCATGCATAATAGATTTCCCCGTACATTGTCCTTAAAACTTGAATGATAGAGATATATTTTCGATATACTCGTACCGGACAACTCAAAGAGGATACGTATGTCTGCTTTGCATGTTGGGGGATAACTGAGCGATGTTGCATGTATCCGTGTATGGAGCGCCCTGCTGGGTTTGGTGGTGCCGTGGCAGGTAGAGTTGCTACGTTCCTGGGTGATTGGTACTGTCGGTAGGGCGGTAGGCTAGGTCGCAATACTGTCAAATGTGTGGGGACTATGGACTAATTGATTGAGCCTGTTTGACTGACATGCTTCATTTAATTTCTTTGTTACACAGGTTCGTTAGAAGGACTAATTTGTGCTGAATAGAATCATTTATAAATTGATCATAGCATTGTGTGATGCCATATTTGTTTTGTTTCAGGTGACTTAGAAATGATTGTATGGTGGCTTTTGGTACTCATAGCGCCGTTGACATACGGACGAAGAGCCGAGGATAAATGTCTGGACAAAGAGGGTAAGTTTTTATGTTTCTCGTTTTTTCAAAAAATACCTACTAATAAGCGACTAAAGACATCTAAATGGGTGTCCGCAAAGTTGGGAGCCGAGGATAAATGTCTGGACAAAGAGGGTAAGTTTTTATGTTTCTCGTTTTTTCAAAAAATACCTACTAATAAGCGACTAAAGACATCTAAATGGGTGTCCGCAAAGTTGGGGTTTTCCTTTTCAGAAACAACTACCCTTGAAATAACAAAGGTAATGTGTAGTGAAACGAGGGCGACCAAGTAAAAAAAAAATAAAGGAAAAAGTACTCACTCTCCAGTTGACGAGAAGGGCTAAGTACGTCTCTGCCCGAAATCATACCGCTCCAACAGAAAATGAAATCAGCTGATGGGCTACCAAGCAGACGCAGAAACCACATTGATTTGGGAGAATAAATGGTCCAATGAACATACCGTTCACCCTGCCAGCCCAAACATTCTCCGAAAATGTTTGTTGAAAATGTGCCCGACGGACAGCGTGCGGATTTTCTACTGACCAAACATGAGTGTTGCGAAAGTTATTCACCCAATTACGCGTGAACGTAGATTCGTCCGTCACCAATATGCACTTCAAAAAGTCCGGATTATTGTCATGTTGATGCAACAACCACTCACAAAACCGCACTCTTGCTGGAAAATCGTCAGGTTGAAGGGCTTGTACACGTTGTACGTGAAACGGATACAGCCCCTCTTCACGCAGCGTTTGCCACACTTTAGTTTTTGATACTTGCACTTCTCTAGCCATGTCTCTAGTGCTTGTTGAGGGATTCTCGTCTACGCGATTACCTCTACACGCGTGACCGTAACGGTCGGTTGAAGGTTGGTACTAACAAAAATTGCTTATGTTTTCAAGATCTACACGTCGTGTAAAGGAAAACCCCAACTTTGCGGACACCCTGTATATGCATAAAGTTTGTAATTTGAACTAGCATTTTCCTTACTTGCTTGTTTGGACGGCTATTGCCGAATAATATAGTAATACTTTTCCCAATATGTTATAGCTGGTCTGGCTTAACGGTAACAGTAATTAACTTAATTTCATCGAAAAAAACACACTCATGCGGGTGTCTAGTCGTCCCTTTTGTGAATGACAGGCAATTTAAGCTTATTCCTTAATTGTAGCTTTGCCTAATATTATACATATTATTACCTTTTAAGAATATGAAATTAAATAAATTTTAATTTTTAAAACGAGAATGCCAATTTGCTGAAGCGTTCGACATTTTCGTAAGACCAATCTCGAGCACATCCCCCTCCTCTACACTCCTGGAGTACGACGTGTTATGCACGAGAACCGCACTAAGAGGTTTGACTTTTGTACTGCCTAAGAGACAAGGTGCGGTTGTACCGGCCAGTTTGGATGTACGAAGTTCGACCTATCAGAAAGCAGAGCTCTTTGAGAGGGAATCAGAAAGACCTTCACAAGTGTGTGGTTTTATCGATATAATTAACTACAAGTAACCTTTACTAATGAAAACATTATTACATGTAAATTGAATTTTTCACTATAATCACTCGTCCTAGGTTTGTCAAAACGATACTAGTCTAACTTTAGAAAGTTTTTTGTTCGTTGACAAGATAAAATATGTGGAAAATAAGCTTGGTCAAAATATAGTGATTCATCTGTTAAAGACAAACATCAACAATCAATCACCAAAACAGTTTATATAATCAATAGAAATTTCCTTGTTTTTCAAGAGTTGTACCGCGCTCTTTATTGATTACCTTGAAATTATAATACACAAACTTAGGTAGTTTGATTCATTCAGAAGCGCGAAAACCTTACATTCATGCGAGAAATTTTCCGACAATAGATTTGACGAATTTTTCAAGCAAATTACAAAAAAATGTTTTTCTTATCAGGTTCGTAGCATCGCCTCTCTACAGCTGACCGTCTTAAAGTTATAGGCGATGCAAAGTCTGAAAAACCCTCCCCCAATTGTCCAGTTTCAGTGTTTGAGAAATCGGTTAAAAATCGTAATTTTTGAGATTGCGAAATGTATAAATTGAAGCCCAAACCTTTCCCTACAGGATCCCGAGGAGTATTTTGGACCAAAACATAACATTTTGTATACATTCGTTAAGTCTTCGTGGCATGCATCTAGCACAGAATACTTAAACCAGAAACTACACTCAGGCAATTTCATCGGTGCAATTTCCAGACGCCGGCGCCGCTAGATAAGCAGTCGGCTCGCTACCGGCAAAAAGTTTTGGCACAAAATATTCATCGGATTTTTTTTTTTAATTAAGAAATTTATTTAAAAACTAACTAACTCAAAACCTAACTAAACCATACTATCGAATTATGTAGAATTGCCCATTCTGCTCTACCAGACGTAGCTTTCTTCGAATGCCTCTTATGAGGTCCTGGACGGAATTCAGATCAATTTCTCTCAATAAATTCGCCGTCTTAATTGTTGTATCTAACATTGTTATACGTTATCCGTATAAAATCCATCGTTTCCCTTCATTTTAGAATTACCCAAAGAGAAATGCTTTTCGTCATCTAAAATAATGATTGGCCATCTTGGTATATGAACAAGTTGCGTTTGAGAGTATTTGGGGCACTTGAGTCTCTTTCGATATTCAAGACCATTCCTCATCAATTCCAACGATATCGTACTCTTAGGACCAATTTCACCAATATTAAGTCAGTTGGACCAACAGGAAAATACCTTATCGAAATGCAATTTGACGAAAGCTGTCAAAGTCGTGAAAAAACGGTTGCCTTATAAATAAGGGTACATTATAGATGTAATATTATGTCTTTGTGCTTTAGAATTAGGATAACTTTCATAGAATTTCAAATTTTTATCATTACAGAAAAGACGGCCAGTTATTTGAATGGACCAATGAAAATGAGAGAAATAATAGGTCGATTGTCTAGCTATTATATTTAGTAGGATGTTTCCACTGTTTTTGACGACTGTTCATGCATGGCAATTTAGTTTTGTCTGTATATCACGTACATGGTGTTGTACATAATACGTACCTGTAGAAATGTACCGATTTTTGTATTATTGGTATTATTATAACACGTCTGGGATATCAATTGCTTTTAAAGTGATCTGCACATCTGAAGTGTTGCCGAAGTGGAAAAAAAACGGCATCGGTAAATAGTGTCGTTGAATTCGGTATAAGGTAAATGCCGTTCCAAGATCAGTGGTAGATCAAGTACCTTTGAGTCATGAAAAACGTCTGTTATTGTATTGGGCGCGCACACAACATGTTTTTTGAGGGCATAGTTCTATATTACAACTTCTACAATGTGCATACTGGTCGCTCTTTCAAAGTACTTTGCAACCATTCTGGATTCTCCTATTTGGATTCTTGCTTATAGGATTGTGAATATTTTTCTGTTTTACCCCTGAACTCGCCTCATTTTAATTAAATATTTATTTTGAAATCAGACAGGTTTCGGTTTCTTTATTGCTTGTCCGGAGATGAGAAAAAAACTAAACTATTGAGACTACATAAAATTAACTTATAGCTTTATTTTTTTATTCAGCTCTTTTTCGGCAAGTATAGAAATATTTAAATTATTTTGAAAAATCGCGTATGTTATCGGTAAATATTCTCTTTTCGGTAAAAATACCGAAAAATTCGGTTCAAGTCCATGCATAGACAATCTGAAATTTGCAGTATGAATTTATATTCTAAATTCTATGCATATCCGTTTATATTCGTCAATATTTCATTTGAAGCTTTTATTTGTCATAAGATTTTAGCAAAATGTAAGATAGTAAAGGCAACACCGCACCCTGCAGCCCAGTTGACAAGAACGACAAGCTGTCAAGATTAGGGATGTTTAGATCCACGAAAAGTATCGATATGTATCGATTCTTATCGTTTTAGGAAGTATCGATAACTCTAAAATATTGGAATAAAATTATCGATATCCATCGGAAGGAAACAAAGAAGAAAAGTAATCTGAAGTTAGTCACTCTTTCTGACACAGTCCGGATCGAAAGATGACGATACTCGTGAAATGAATCGATACACCCAAGTGTCGTATATAAAAATATCGATCTAAAATATCGGGTATGGGAAGCAAAAGTATCGATACTTCTAAATATAGGATCGTATCGAACATCCCTACTGTCAAGATGTATAACTCGAGGTACCGACGGAGCTATTTTGGGGGTCATTGAAATAATTTTAAATTTTCATTTGCATTTTTTCAAGTGTTGTGCAACAGTTTTGGGAAAAATTCCACGTATAGTCTTATAAAGCATAGTAGAGTACAGTTGGCGGAGCTTACTCCACTGGGACCACGGGTTGACGGATCCCACACATGTGTCACTAGTTGGAGAGTTTTGAAATGTTATAATCAGCTGTTATTCAAATAATGTCTAATATAGATATAACCTAGAATGTGTACTCAGTGAAACAAGAAAGTTGTTGCAAATTCTATTTTTTGCAGGTTTTAAGTTTGCTGGTAGCTTTATTTGAGTATTTCTTAATCGCTAATAATATTTGACTTTATGAATATATGGTTATCAAAAATCCTGAATGTTTTTTTGGAAATATCAATGGACGGTGCTATAATGGTTCTGATGAACGGCGAGTAAATGAATGAATGTCTGGAAACGAGCAATATCTATGAAAGTTTTGGTAGATTCTGTCATCAAGTAGGTGTTTAATGGCTATCTGCAAGAGGTTTATTGAAAAAAAAACACGGGAGGTGATGTTAAATCAGTAAAATCGCATATCAATTGAAGAAAATGACATAAATATGAATAAAAAATCAACAATAGTAATTAAAACATGAATTTTATTCAAAAATCGAACATTTCTTTAAATTTTGACTGAATTATATGTAATTTCTTAGGCCCGTATCGTCAGACGTCCCTACAATTGTAGGGCGCGTTTATGGCCTCCTTGATTGTCATAGTTTTCTACTTCTCCGTGTCAGAGCTCTATTTTGAGGTTATGTCACAAACATCTATTTGCATCAAATTGTGCTTGCTTTTAAGTTATATCATGTTTTATCAGCCTGAAATTTCCTACAATTTAAAAGGAAAACATATCTTAACAATAGGAGAGCGCTGACGCTGACACGGGACGAGTGTAATCTAGAAATTTTTGAAGGAGAGAAAAGAGTATGACAATCAAGGCGGCCATAAACGCGCCCTACAATTGTAGGGACGACTGACGATATGGGCCTTAATATTCAATAAGCTGGTGATGTTTCAAGGACAAGCTGTCATCTCATACTTTGACAATATTTTGTTTTCAACATTTCATAGCTATTGGTTGCTGAAATTTGTTGATTGGATGTTGAAGCTCATTCGCTGTATTTGACGGACTGTTACCCTATAGGTGGAGAATAACGGACTGTTAATTTGACAACGTTGGTGAAATCCACCCTTAGAAGATCTGTATTGACGAGCCAGCCTTCTTATTGACATTCCAACCTGATTGTTTGCTCTTTTTACCAATCTCTCTGACCTCTGAGCAGTAAATGCACGTGGTATTCCACTTTTTGGGAGATTCAAACATGGTTCTGCGTGAAATGTTTTCATTCTGGAATATTCGACAGATTTCAGCGTTGAGTACCCACCCAACCAACTTTACTTTTTCTTATTTCTAATTTATACGACATCTTAAAGCGAAAACTTAAAATAATTAAATTTCAACTGACAGTAAAGTAAATAAACAAACTTTTGTCTCCAAAGCAACTTGATATTATTTTGCGTTTGATAAAATTTAACCCAATGAATTTTGTGTCATAACTTGTAAGACACACGTTAGTGTGTCAAAATTTTATCAGAACCCGAGCAGTAATTTCCGAACTATAGGAGTAGCTTTTTCGCTGAATTTAATCGCACTCGAAACAGTCATCCACATACAGAACCCGTTTGATTCATAGTGTAATCAAGCACTTGAACGATGAACAATGCACAGCTCGCTGAGAATACAGTCCGATCCTGTACCGCTATTTTCTATCGCTGCTTCTAGTGCCGCAGTGCGTACTCGAAAGATCCACTCGTTTGACAAATCTTACTCAGAGTGATTCTACTGAGCTGATGTGTACCTACAAACTGTGCTTCTGATAAGGTTGATTTATGTCTTGGGTATCTCATTCCACCGTAGCAAAGGAAATTTGACCGTTATGGAAATGGTCTACTGTAGCTTTAGCAATATAGAGATAGCCATTATTTTGTAGAAAAATTAGGTTCTCAAGCGTTTGGAAACTGGTAAAAGATGAGGTTATAGTATTTTCTAGATTCCTCCGCCAATTAGAGTTGCCATCCGTCTGGAAGGCGTGGCGCTACTTCTAGTTTCCATTAGAGAAGGTGTGGCATAATGAAATATCCACAAGATAATACCCATTCTTAAATTGCTAGGATTACAATAAACTACTTCAACACTCAACCCAGCCACCTTCCTTGTCCTGTTTCGAGATAATTCGCCCATTGAACATTTGTGGGATATGATGGGAAGAAATGTGACCGCGTAACCTCATCCTCCACAAACGCTAGCGAAACCAAGTACAGCTAGCTTGGGGTGAGATAGCTTAAGTCACCTCATCAGATTCATACCCCGACGATTAGACGAATGTATGGCCCAGCTCATTATTAGGGAAATCCAGCCGATGTTTTCACTTCAAAATTAAATTACTACTTCCTCTTACCCACAAGATATAATTCAAATAAATTCATTTTAATCGGTATTCTATTTTCTTTGTCATTGAGTATATTTAATTGTTAATAACGCACTACGAGGTATTCCATTTGCTATAAGGATGCGTGTGTAACAGTATTTAACATAAGAAGATAATAATAAGTTATGTTATGTTTAGTAATAATGTTTGCACATTTGTTATATGTTATTTGCAGAAGTTACGCCAAAGAAATACTTCAACTTCAACGGCAAGTCGCAATGGATTAAAGTGGACACCTCATCCAGAGTGACGCATCAGTTGGTTAGTCACGTGTTCTACATCTACGTCAGAGAAGTGCTGGGCTATCCCAAGATCCAGATCACCCACTATGAAGATGATTTCCAGATAGAAACTGTCATGGAACGTCTCAGCGATACAAGAGAAACGTAAGTACTTGAGAAGCCTTACAGATACGTGGCTGACTTCTCAGCTCGCAAGGTATTCGTCGTTAATTGCCCGATTCTCCTCTTCATCCCACAATGTCAACGCAGATATTTCCCAGGGACCGGTCTTGCCAGACAATAATTGCAAATATGGTTTTTTGTAGAGGAAATTCCTGCACAACTTTTTTGAAAACCTCCAAATCCTCAAGTATTTTGGTTGCTGCCTGCATATGGTTGAATATCTTAATTCTATTATAAATTATAGAGCGCTTAGTTAATGCGGCCTTGGGGATAGGTAAATGAATGCAGTGGTGATGCCTGAAATTGTACCGTCTAGTCTCAGTTGCTGGTTGTTGACTGGCATATTTCTTTTTAACCAAGCATACCCCTTCAACTATAAAAAGACGTCACAGTTAAAATCTTGAACTCTATAAAAAGGGGCTTACAGCTATCTCTAAAGCCAGCTTGAGCTATGCTACTTATAGTTCTTTTTTGGAGAATATAAACTTGTTCCAGGAGTTGCATACCACAAAATCCCCAAAATATAATGCCATACCTAGTATGTGACTCCGCCATAGCATAGTAAGTACGTAGTATTGATGGCTTCAATGTCCAACTCTCAGTATATAATTCTTGCAGCAAAGCATTCATATGCCAGCCTTTTAGATGATCATCTTTTCTTCATATGATCACTAAATTTCAACTTGTGATCAATTTCTAGTCCAAAAAACTTTTTTTATCAATGTTATAAATATAAATAAGATAGCGCCATCTATCACACCAGAATCGAACACTGTGGAAGGCTCTCTGTCAAACTTCGGCCAAAACTCTCATTGCCCCGGTGTTTCTGCCTATTGATGTATCAGTAAAAAAATTAGATGGTGCCATCTGGGATGAAGGCAAATCGTCTGTAGTTATAGTCACCGTTCTTGGCGGGTCAAAGAAGACTACCAGCATCCCTTTATATATCTCCATCTCCCTCATATATATATATAACTTGAGACGTGGTCATTGTCGTCTAGACCAGTTAGGTGAAAAATTAAAGCTTCCGCCTTTTTTGGGAACTTCGAGAAAAATTTTAAGCTAGGAGGACTCTTTATACTTTTTTTATTCTCTCTAGCTTTCAATGGACTTTGCCATCATCATCAGGAGCTGCAATTACATTGCAAATCCGTCCTCACTATAAATTGCATTTTTTCAAAAATGAAAGACAGAGTTCCGCTGCTTGGCTTAACCAACACAGTCTACTCTATCAATTGCAACCAAATATACATAGGTCAGACCTCCAGATCTCTTAAAGGAAGGATTACATCACACAAAAGTGATTCTAGGCTTCATCCTGAAAAATGTGCTCTAGCATCTCATGTTAACACAACAGGGCACTCTATGAACTACACAAGTATCAAAGTTCTCGATAAAAAAACACCTATCCAAACGTTTATTCCTGGAAATGTCCAACATTTTCATGAATGACAACTGTATCAATAAGAAGACAGATGTTAAGCAACTGAGTGTCATTTACTCATATTTGCTAAACTGCGAAAAATTGGAGCACTTACACATCTCCCCAAATTTTGACTCTTCATAACCATAAATGGAATCTGTTTCTTGGTCTATTCCACCAATAAACTTCATTCCATTCAAATTTTAATAACTTTTTTCCTCACAATTAAATAATAACTGTTAATTTAATTGCCCATTAATATAATATAGTCAATTCAACTGCCTCTGGTCGGTTTGACAATTTCTTACCTAACACATTTTGAAAATCACATCATCTGAAGTGATTTGGCAACGTAGCACACGCCCACAAAATAATTCGTTCCATCATTCTACACAGACACTGATAACCTTCGGCAATCTGTCAAAAGGTTCATCTTACTCATTATTCCATGCCCACCATTTTGTGCAATCATCAAGTGGCTTCACGATGTATTGCTTTCATGTTCTAAAAATTTTTAATCTGGTTTTAACTTGTTCTTGTCACACAGCTGTGTGTATTTTATATAATTTTGACCATTGTACCATTTATCCAGCTTTCACCATGTTACTGGGTGTTTCCCTTATCCTGAACGTAAATAACAATTAGCAACATCCTCACATACTACTGTAAGTTAAGTTAATTTAAATTCATTTTACACTATTGTTGCTACTGTTATCAATGTAATTGCAGCTCCTGATGATGATGGCAAAGTCCATTGAAAGCTAGAGAGAATAAAAAAAGTATAAAGAGTCCTCCTTGCTTAAAATTTTTGTCGTAGTACCCAAAAAAAAGGCGGAAGCTTTAATTTTTCACCTATATATATATATATATATATATATATATATATATATATATATATATATATATATATATATATATATATATATATATATATATATATATATATATATATATATGTATATATATGCAACCTACCCCTCTGTGTGAACGTTTGTTCGGTAAGCTCAAAGAAATACATTTTTTAGTTGTGTGTCTCCGCCTCGAAAACTTTGTCATTACGTGTGATTGCCATTCAATCATATTTGTCAGAGGGACAACTTACTTGACATCGGCGTAATTTGAGTTGAGTTTTTCAGTGACTTTAACTTGTACCACCACATGAAGGTATTTCTTCGGTTTATTGAAATTCTTCCACAAATCATGAGCGAAACACAAAATACGAATATGACCGTCAAAAAATCCTAAAAGCATGAAATTTGAAGTGAACAATTGATGATTTTTTAAGCTTCTTTTCCTCCCAGAATGTTGGAATTGGCGCCGATTCGCAACAAGTATATATAGTAAGTTGCAAAATCTAAAATCCTATTTTTTCGTCAGTTCATTATTGTAAACAATTCGGAATGAATTCGCTCTTATCGCTCGACGATGTTTTCTGTGGAGATAATGATTTCATGTACACATTATTTACAGGAAAATAAGTACAAAATACGTTCAAGGTCATACCGTCAAGGATCTGACGTCGTATATGCAATATTATTTTTCTGTTCTGTTGCCGCATATCTGCTTGTTTTTCACAGAGCAGTTGAAAAATATGATTGTATTTCCCACCTACGCTTACATGACTAGTATGAAGGCAATTCCCCGTAATCGATATAAATTCAGTTGCAGTAATTGCACGAAATATTTTTTGCACTACTATCTCTCGAAATCACCATTATTGACCATCTTGCCCGACTGACAGAACAGTAGCTTCTCTAGTAGTAGTAGTAATAGTAGTGTGGAGGTGAAGCCTGGCGGGTAGGTCCCCTGTGATCTTTTTTGACGAGCCCTTAGCATCAACACTGTAAATGTAACGTCTTTAGTATTATTTAAAGACGTTCTATCACAAAGAAGCTTCTAATCTCTATGAGATTGAGAAAATTAATGTGCTCATAATTCGAAATAACTTGGCAATCGTTGGCGTTGCGTGCATGGCGCGATCACATTATCGTGGTGTCATCACTGACACGCCGCTACAGGAGAAATATTTATATATTTCAGCAATATTTGGATATTAGGAGTACGCACCACTTAGCGTTCTGCAATGCTTTTGTAAATGATAACTTAACTGTTTTTATGTCTACAAGTGCTTTTTCTAAATGTTATAATCATTGAATGTACCATTTCGCCTGACCTTTAATTTGTGTTACTCTGAATATTTCGTCAAGTAGATTGACTCAGTACTCATGACGCATTGATATACAGACACGTACCGACAAACCGCCATAAATGACAAACACGGACTTGTGTGGTGCAGATATCTTTAAGCAACAGAAAACTTGTGAACCGAAGTTCGAATATTATCGTGAGCTTAATACCTCCATCGTTTAGGTAGCTATAGATTTGTAAAATTGATTCTGAGGTGGCCGAAATAAAATCGCTGGAACGTTTCAGCGGTTCCTCATTTTCATTGTTTGGAGGGGATGAACATTGTAGATTGGAAGCTGTATGAGGTATCTGGTTCTAAATTGTTGCGTAATTGGTGCCAGTGAAAGCCCTCCTATTATTAAGAGACTGCTGATCTCAGCAGCTGTCATGGAAAAAGAAATGTGATAAATTTGCTTTATATAGTTTGATATCCGGGGTCGAAGATTCATCGTACCTATGTGAACTTACCTAATTACGATTCGATTTCGCCTCCGAGAAGAGTAGGAGTATAGATTCAATCTACTTGACGCCATTATTTTATTATACGTGCTCGTAGCTAACTTTGTTCTCAGAGGGGCCGCACAATCATTTGTGATATTAGTGTTGCGGGAACCTACTTGACGCAATTTTTCTCAACAAAAATATATGACAACCAATAGAACATGATATAATGTCAAACCCATCAGAGCTACAGTTTTAGGTGGATTTTGTATTATAAACTTCTTTCTGCATATGGTGTTGAATTTCTTTGTTCGCTAACATTTTGCACCAGCTGAACTGTCTGACATTTATATTTTAAATATCACATTCGCGCCTGATAATGATCTCAGAAATCTTTCTTGTTTAATAGACATTATTTGTATTTCAAATATACTATGTAGAGGCATTTATACATATTTAATATTTAAATCGTGGTAAACATGATAATAAGTGTAGATACGTATGTTTGTATCTAATTTTATATTTATGTGTATAATTAATTAATCATTTGCGTCAGTTTTTGTTCAAAACGACCCAAAAAATAAAAAGAAACTTGGCGTTAAAAAGACATTTCTGTAAGTTGTTTAAAGATTGTTGGGATATACAGGGTGTATCCGACAAATTTTAACCACATATGCACTGTTACGAAAGAAGTTGATTTATCAAACAAAAATGTAATAAAAGTTCTACAGAAATCGAGATAATAAAATAATATAGTTTAACAGTTCACTTACTTATAAAAGCTGTTCAAAATTGTTTAATCGGCAGCCACTGTGATTCGGTCACCCCATTCTCCAATATTCTGAACTGGAGTACGGTATACCTCGTTTTTCAAGTATCCCCATAAAAAGAAGTCCAGAGGATTTAGATCGGGAGACCGTGGAGGCCATGCAATTCCTCCACTCCTTCTGATCCAGCGTATCTGGTATACCGGATTAAAAAAATCCCGTCCTTCTAAACGAAAATGCGGAGGTGCCCCATCGGGTAGAAACGACATCCGTGCACGGACCGCCAATGGCACATCTTAAAGAAGGACCGGCAAATCATTCCGAAGAAATTCCAAATACTGTTGACCATCCATCCGATCTGGCAACATGAACGACCCAATTAGACGTTCATCGACGATACCTGCCCACACGTTCAAAGAAAAACGATGTTGGAAGTGTGTCTGGACCACTGCGTGAAGATTCTCAAAGGACCAATCGTGTGTATTATGAAGATTGGTTATCCCATTACGAGTAAAAATAGCTTTCAACGGTGGCGCAAATGATCTTTGGGGCTGGAAATTTTTCTACCCCAGTGGAACTTCTAGAATTTATCCTATTATTGCTCCCTAAATCCATTGTATTCTGATATGATTAGACTAATAGTGCTTCGCTGCAACACCAACCTCGAACAAAATCAGTCAAACTTTACACACTTTTCAAATTACTATTGTGCAACAAACAGAACATAAATTACTTTTTAAGTGCAATCTGTATAGCTAATATGGGCTTGTCCAAAACGGACGCAGGAAAGTAAACGCATATTAAAACAAGAAAGATTGATATTCAAATCAAGCTGGGTACTTTATTTTGAAGGTTCATTTATATCATTTATGTATGAAAAATAATATCGCTCAAATGTTCACCACGACTGGATTTACAGACGTCCACGCGATGGTCGAAATTTTCAATGACATTTTGCAACATGGTCGGTTCTATGGCATTTATCTCGAGAATGATGTTGTTTTTGAGTTCTTGGAGGGTGGCTGGTTTGTTGACGTAGACTTTGCTTTTCAAATATACCCATAAAAAGCAGTCCAAGGGAGTCAAATCGCACGATCTTGGTGGCCATGGCACATTTCCTCTGCGCGAAATCATGCGATCACCGAAGAAGGACTGCAATCGATGGATATTGACGTTGGTTGTGTGGCATGTTGCACCGTCTTGTTGGAAATAAACATCGTCCATATCCATTCCTTCAAGTTGCGGCAAAAAATAGTCCTCTATCATCACGTGATATTGCTCAGAATTGACGGTAACGGCGTCCCCGGCCGCATTTTCGAAAAAGTAAGGTCCGATGATGCCTTTTGACCACAATGCAGCACACCACACAGTCACTTTTTGTGGATGCATCGGCTGCTCTTGATACTCACGGCGATTTTCGTTTGCCCAGATGCGGCAGTTTTGCTTGTTTACCGTCCCATTCAAAGTGAAATGCGCTTCGTCGCTGAACATGATTTTTGATGAAAAATTGGCATAAATTTGGCGGTGTTCAAGGATCCAATCTGAGAACGTTCGGCGCGAAAAATGGTCGGCCCGACGCAGCTCCTGCGTCAATTGGATCGTGTAGGCGTGTACATTCAAATCCTTTTGGAGAATGCGGAGCAAACTGGTTCTCGAAATGCCCAATTCTTGGGATCGACGCGTTGTTGATTGTTTCGGATCGTCTCTCACACTCTCCTTCACAACAGCAATATTTTCCGGTGTGCGAACGCTCCTTGGCGGGCCAGAGCATGGCAGATTTGCCACAGAACCTGTTGCCTCGAATTTACGCACCAGACAACCGATGGTTGTTTCGTTTGGGCGGTTGTTGCGACCGAAATGTTCACGAAGCGCGCGAAACGTGTTTTTTATTTTTGCACCATTTTTGTAGTGCTCTTGAATAACTTTAATCCGGTCTTCAATCGAATACGACTCCATAGCGATCAATGGTAAACATTCAACTAACAAAATGACATGTCGGTGACAGAAAACAAAGATGGCGTCTATGTCAAATTGACGTTTACTTTCCTGCGTCCCTATTGGACAACCCTTTATATTGCTTAGACTTAGATTTGTTACAAGTCACAATAGTCATATATATATATATATATATACGTATAAATCGTAAGAATTGTGCTGTAAACGTAAGTGATGTCGAAGAGGGACAGCGTTTGGAATACCAAGGGATACCAAAAATCGCAATGCTCAGTTACTATAGCTATAACGTATAGTTAGTATGCCTCTGTCGCCATGATGTGTCAGAAAGCAACACAATGGTGTTAGATTACCCCACTGGGCCTCATGTAATATGCGCCACGCTGTTGCATGTGACACTTCTGGGATCTGTTAGGCTAACTGCCTTGTGCTTATTCCCGGATTTTCTTCGACAATATCCAAAATTTCGTCTTCGGCATTTGAAACGCGTTGTGGGCGAACCCGACCCCCATCCATTCCACGTCTGGCGCGCAAATCTCTACGAGCACGTGCACGTAAAACAATTGAAGTAAATGTTTCGTGATGTGGTATGTGCCTATTCGGAAATCGGTGTGCTCACAAACGAGAAGCCGGTCTCGAATTTTGCCCTGCTTCTCCGTACGCTAAAACAATGTCCACGAACTCCTCATTAGTGTACACATGTGCAATTTTTATTAATAAAAAACAAAAACATTAACTCGCAAAATACTCTCTCATTTAATTTCACAAAATTTTATAATGCTTAACAGTAATAAATGAAAGGGTAATAACTAAAAATATCAGAACTACTCAGCTCTCAGAAACTGCTTTCTTCACAAAAACTAGATAACATTATAACAAAGGTAAACAAAAACAAAGATAAAATGTTGAAATTGTTGCCACAGCATGCTTTAAATATAGTCATTATGTTGCCAAAAAAACAAGTTGAAGTTATTTTTTCTGGGTATAATACTTCTAATGTCACTGAGTAT